TACATAACAATGAAAGAGTTTTACTTTTCAAGAAGAGTGAATTGGGGGGGGGAGGGCGTGGGCAGGGAGAAAAGTGCAACAATGAATGAATGGAAACCCTAAGTCTCTGTAAACTTTCATTAAAATTAATTTTAAAAAACAAAAACTAAGGGGAGCTCTGGTGGCCTAGTGGCAAGGAGCTGCCACTACAATCCCAGAGGCGCACAGTTCGAATCCACCAGATGCTCTGCCGGGGAAGGAGGGACAATCTCCTCCTGTACCAGTCAGATCTGATTTGACAGTACACTCACACAAAAAATAATCGAATTTAAAAAAAAACAAACAAAAAACAAAAAAACAAAACCAAAACCAAACTCCAGAGTGCACAAGAAAACTTCCAGAACTAATGGGGGAAGTTAGCAAAGTTGCAGAGTGCAAAGTCAACACACAAAGGTCAGATGGGTTTCTATACGCCATCAGTTAGTCATTTGTAAGAGAAATTAAGGAATTAATTTTACTTACACTGACATCCCAGAGAATAAAATATCTACAAAATAAATTTAACCAGAGATGTAAAGGACATGTACAATGAAAATGACAAATACTGTGCAAAAAGATCAAAGACTTGAATAAAGAGAAAGATGTCCATTGATTGGAAGACTTAATACTTCTAAGTGTCAATACTGCCCAAAGTGGTCTAGAGAGTCAAGGAAATCCTGATTTAAATTCCAGCAGCCTGATTTACAGAAATAGAGAAAACAATCCACAACTTGGTGTGGAAAGGCAAACCTACTGCTGCCAAGTTGATTCTCATGCATGGTGACCCTCTACTGGGCTTCTGAGGCTGAAAATCTTTATAGGAAGAGACTGTCCAACTTTCACCCAGAGCAGCTGGTGGATCTGACCCATCAGCCTTTCAGTTAGCAGCCCAACGCATAATATACTACAGCATCCGAATTCCTTATGGAGAGACAAGAGACTTTAAACAGCTAAAATAAAATAAAATATTACTTTAAACCAATTCTCTTTAGAATAACAAAGTAGGAGGCTGCAAATTCCTGATACCAAAACTTACCACTAGATCCTTTTTCAGCTCATTAGTGTGATGATTGGGTGTTCATGCTTTTGTATGACATGTGCCTCACTTAAGCCTTGTTATAACATTAGCACATTACCCATCAGACGTAAAAAAGCAAACAATTTATGACTATATAGCTAGAGAAGTAAAAAAGAGTCCACTAATGCTGTAAAACAACAGACATAGATCAATGGAATAAAAGTGAGAGTCCAGAAATAAACCCACACATGTATTCTCAACTGACTTTTTAAGAGTGCTAAGTCAATTTCATGAGAAAAGAAAAGCTTTTTCACTATCTCTTAAAAACTCACTCCAAATGAGTTGATTTCTACTCAGAACAGCCCTCTACTGAGTTTCTGAGTCTCTGAATCTTAACAGGAGGAGACTGCCCATCTTTTTCCAAAGGAGCCAATGGATGATCAGAAGTGTGAGAAGTATAGCCTTTTTATGTTTCTTTTTTTAAGATAAAATAGTAAAAGGTAGATTTATTAGAAAGTTCATCACCAAAGGATGGATGCCCTCTTTGAAAAATGGAGGGGAGGCCAAGTACAGCCTTTGATTAGCGCCTTGCAACACAATCTGGTGGAAACCACAAGAGCCCCTTCTTCAATAAATGACACTGGGAAAACTGGAGTCAACATGCAAGATCCACATATAAAAAGGGACTTAAAGGCTCAGAGCATAAATGCAAGAAGTAGCAAGGTATTTTCTCATGCGTTAAAATAATGGATAAATGCAGAATGCTACACTATGGAATAGATTTTCCATTTTTAGGAAAATAGACTCTATAAGAAGATAATGGTCTCTAAAACTTGTGTCTCTAAGGAGGAAGGACAGGATTGACTGTGATGATCAGTGTAAATGCTAGTGGAGAGCTACTATACTAGGAGTTTTACTACGGTGCTCTGTTTACAAAGTCTGTACTTTCTGAGTAATTTGTCCCTAAGCTAGTATCTCTCAAAAACCCCGATTGTTATTTTTTTGTAACATTCTTGTAGAACATATGGTTTTCTCAGCAATGCATTTCTGTTACTATAGCAGAAACCACTTAGCACAAAAACACGAAGTAACAAGTTGCCATTAATAAATCAGCAGAAACAACAAAGCAAGAAACCAGTTCCACAAAGATAGCAGATACTGAAATTCATCAGAGAAGAATCTGTGTTTATAGTATGTTTAAAATGAAGGTGAAAATTTGAAAAAATAAAATGGAAATTAGAAACTTAGTGCTTACATTTAAACCAAAGATTAGATATAGTTGAAGAGAGAATTAGTGGAATGGAATTAAGACCAAAACAATTACAAAGAACAATGGGGGGGGGAGGCAAAGAGATGGGAAACAAAGATAACTGGGCATGAAACATACAGAGTAAGAAGCTGGAACTTACACTTGATAGTCATACTTGCAAAAGGAGTAAAGGAGAGAAAGGAGACAAACAAGATTAGGAAGACCCCAAACTATGGATTCAACAAACTTAATAGATTGAAAGGAAGATAAAAAAATAAAGTCAGCCTTGAAAAAAAACCAAAAACAAATCCATAAAGTGCCATGAAGTTGTTTAGTACAGAAAATACCATGTAGAAACAAGTAAAATGAGAGTTTTCCAAAAGCGAGGCATCTGACATTTTTAATAAATTGTTGTGTACTGCCACGTCAGAACTGGACCATAGCTGACTCTGTAGCAGGTTTGCAAAGGCAGTAAATCACATGGGAGGAGAATGACCACCTGTATCCCATAAAGTAACTGATAGATTCGAACCTAGTACCTATGGGTTGGCAGCTAAAGGTACGCAGTTTGAATCCACCAGCTGTTCTGGTGCAGAAAGATGAGCAATCTCCTTTCATGGATTTACTGCCTCTGAAAACCCACTGGATGTTTAGATTAAAAAGTACTTAACCAAATCCCTATTAATCCATTTGTTGTTGTTGTGTACTGTATGGTCAGAACCAGTCCATGGCTGACCCTCAAGTGGGTTTTCAGAAGTATATCATATGAGAGTTGACTGCCCACCTTTGTCCTGCAGCTGCAGCTTTTCTGGGCACCTGGCGGTGGATTCAAAGCACACACCTTACACTGGCAGTGCAATTCTGTACCACTAAGCCACCAGAGACCCATATGAATACATCTGGTTATTTAATTAATACAATAAGGTTATATTATTTATTAATATCATTATTATTACAACTATAGACAAAAGACTTGAAAATCTTCAGATGATATCATTTTAAATTAAAAATCAAGTCATAAAAATACAGCTAAAGTATTTATATAAGGTGAAAATGAAGTAAAGTCATAAAATATATTTTTAGAGATAAGTATGTGATTAAATTATAAAGAATAGGAAAACTTTACTACGGGATGAGGATTAGGAGAGAGACTTCAAAGGCATCATTAAAATCCTATTTCATAAGATGGGGTATGATTAAGTAGGTGTTCTTGTAATGATATTTTTTAATAGTGTGTCTACATAAGGTATAGATAAAACAGAGATGAATTAGGAATTTCTTTGGAGAATGAAGTGAGAGAAAGGATTATTTATATTTTCTGATATTTCCACAGTGATAATTTTAAAAGGCCATAAAAGTAATTTCCTTTTATTTATTTTTTTTTTCATGGCTGCAGTCACTGTATCCATCCACCCAGTTCAGGGTCATCTGCTCTTTCCCCATCCCTCCAGCTTCCCAAGGACGATATCCCTCTCCAATGACGACCTTCTGAACAATAAAGCTTCATGATCTTTGCCTCCAAGGAGCATTCTGGCTGCATAATTTCCTTTTATTTTTAAGTAATTTCTTTTATAAAATTCTTAAACAACTTAAGTATTCTGATTCTATCTTGAGGATATTTTAGAACACATATATTTATGGTAATTATATCTCTAGAGTAAACAGACTTTTTAAAAAACTTCATGCAGGTTAATTCAATTTTGTTAAATAACATTTTAAGCTACATTAAGGGTGGCTTTCATGGATAACTGTGTCAAATTTATGGTAACTTTATCAATAAAGCAATATGTTATATTATACATTTTGGTAAATACTCCCCACTCAAAATAAAATTTGACATTGGAATACATATTTCAGTTTATCAGATACCAAGTCTTCAAGCAAGGGTTCTCACAGCACTGAATAAATAGCTAATTTACACTATTTCACAACTGAACTCATCCCCAATAAATTTGGCAAGAGTGAAAGAAACCTATGAAAACACTGAGCTTTTCCCAAGTAAAGCATGAGGCTTTTCTAAAGTCAAAACAGCCCTAGGCAGTGTGGAATGAATACTGTTACTTAAGAGCTTAATTTTGTTTACACTGTATTGATGACTTTAATAAAAAGAAAATTCAGCTTCTAGGGAAAAAACATGTATTTGGCCACAAAAAGACACAGTACAAGCTTTATAATATTCCTAATTGGCAATACAAGTTCACTTAGAGTAAAGCTTTTAGAGGACTTATATTTTCAAGACTTGAGCTACTATCAGACTATACACTATAAGACTTGGGCTGTTATCAACCTGAATGAATTCATAAGGAGTCAGGAGTGACTGCGCCTTTTTTAAGGGCAGCTTTCTAAGTAGCCATCTTCTTTCAGATGGTGAGAGACAGTTGCTCCTGCTTTCAAAGGTGGACATTTTCTTTAAAAAGCCATGAGAAAGGGCCACAACCTCCAGAAACCACATTCCTAAGTCATGTTCATGGTCTAAATCTCCACATCATCACCCAGGGACCAAACAACAAACAAGCCCCTCAAACGGCTAATAGTGAGATGCCCCATGAATCAAGCCCAGAATACTGTCTCTTCTGGCTCCCATAACTACTAATACAAAATGAAAACACTCACAAGTTGATGTCCTTTCTGTGGCTACCACAGAAAGAAGAACTTGAGGACCTGTGACGAATATTTAAAAGGGAAATGAAAGAAAGGCTTTCACTTAGGCCTTACCTTTTCCACATCAGCTTTTGTCACGTTTATGTCAGCATCCATTTTCTCAAAAGACTGTTGTGCTCGGTCAGCCTCTTTGCAATCTCGCTCAAATCGCCTTTTACTCTAAAAGTAGGAGAAAACGACGGCGAGAAATGCCATTATCTACAAACCGATGAGATTCAGGTCAGAAGGCATAACTTTATTTAAATTCCCAAATGAGTATTATCATTTGTATGGATTCGCTCACTATATGTCACAATTTTAGTCAGATATTTAAAATTTTGCACTTATTTTCATTTGACTTTTTTTCACATGATTTTTACAAAAATACTACTTCACCTCTTTAGGCTCACAAATATTTTACTTTAGACAACGGCTTTTGAAACAAAATTAAACTCACATCAGAAAAATATCTAAAGACATTTATCTATTTATTTTGTTACTGTTTTTTTATTTATTGATTAATTCAAATTTGAATTAACTCCAAGTTCTATAAAGACTTTTCTGAAGCTCTTTGCTTTTCACTTACTGATTCAAGTTGCTTCCAGCAAGTTTCTATGTGCTGCTGTGCCTTGCGTCCATCACGGAAATGCTGAAAGAGAGAAGGCATATTGGTGACTATGTACTCCCTCGTCATTGCATGAGAGAAAAAAATCATTCACTTAAATGCTTCCATATTGAACATCTAGTATGTGTCCTCCAATGAAATGTAAGAGTTAAATAAAATGGAAATGAGAAACATGAACAGTCACAAGAGTTTCTTTAAAATTTTATAGAGTAACACTGAATTCTAGATCTTACATACAAAGGTGCTTTACTCATATATGAGTCATATATCATATAATTGAACCATGCAAAGTATATCATCCCCATGGACTGCCAAAAGGACAAACAAGTATGTCTTAGAAAAGATGCAGCCCAGGGGGCTCTTTGGAGGAAGGAGAGTGAAACCCTGACTCACACACTTGGGCATGTTGGGAAGGATATCATGATTGGAGGGGGGGCAGTCAGTGAAGGAGGGGAAGACCCTTAATGAGATGGATTGATGCAGTTACTGTAACACTGGGCTTGAGTATATCAGAGATGGTGAGGATGGCACAGGATAGGGCAGGACTTAGAACTGCTGTTCACGGGGTTCCTATGAATTGTAGTCGACTCAACAGCACTTAACAACCTACAACCAGGAGAAGATAAAGTAGATGAATGGGATCCTCTAAGACTCAAATCCCTATGCACATCCAAAAACTTCAACAGGGTAAAAAGGGAAGAAACCACCAACTGGGAAAAAGTATTTGGTAATAACATTATCAGACAAGGGACTTATATCCAGAATTTATGAAATACTTGAGCACCACAACAAGATAAAGGTAAAGAATCCAATAGAAAAATGGGCACAGGATTTGAACAGGCACTTCACCGAAGACGACATTCAGATGGCTAACACGCACATGAAGAAATGTTCAAAATCCCTAGCTCTAAGAGAGATGCAAATTAAAACAACTATGAGATATCATCTCACCTCAGTCAAAATAGCAAAATTTAACAGAACAGCAAGCAACAAATGCTGGCAAGATTGTGGAGAAACTGGAACCCTTGTTCACTGTTGGTGGGAGTGTAAAATGGTGCAACCCCGGTGGAAAGAGGTATGGTGCTTTCTCAAAAAGTTGCAAATAGAGATACCATTTGACCCAGCAATTCCACTCCTGGGAATATACCCCGAAGAGACCATAACTGACATCCAAGCAGATATATGCACACCCATGTTTATTGCAGCTTTGTTCACAATAGCAAGGAGTTGGAAACAACCTAAGTGCCCATCAACAAACGAATGGATAGAGAAGCTGTGGTATATTCACACAATGGAATATTATGCTGCATTGAAAAACAAGGAACTCATGCAATATTATTCAAAATGGTTGACTCTGGAAAACATTATGCTGAGTGAAATATCCCAGTCACAAAAGGACAAATATTGCATGATGCCACTGTTGTAAAAGAGGATTGACCTTGGGATTGGGGAGAGACTGAGTAAGATGGGTTCAATAATGTATACTGCACTGAAACAGAGGAGGGAGAAAACTGTTTAAAAGAGATATGTGATTAGGTATTTCTGTCATGACAAGAGTCTAGAGAGATGGCTACATGGTGGAGTGGACCTGTGGGAGGTTTTGTAAAACAATGAAATAATTTTTCTTTTACTTTTCCAAGAGGGTAGTGTTCTCGGGGAGGCTTGGGAGGGGAGAAATGCGCAACAATGAATGAATGGAAATCCAAAGCCTCTGTAAATTTTTACTGAAATTAATAATAAATTTAAATTTAGAAGAAAAAAAAAACCCAGCACTTAACAGCTCCTCACTGAGGGTGATCTGGTGGCCTAGTCCATTGAGCTGTGCTGCTAACAAAAAAAGTCATGGCTGTCTGATGGTCTGAATCTTCCAGAGGGTCACTGGGAGAAAAGACAGACAGTCTCCTCCCAGGCAAGTGAGTGGGTACCTTGGAAACGCAGTGGAAGATAAGCTACGAGTTGGTTCTAACTTGATAGCACTGAGTTTACTCCACACTTAATGAAGGAACACACATGGTTCACTCACCCACATTTTACATTTAAAAAAACAGGAAGACATCTATGAATACCAAGGAGTGAGGCAGGAGTAGCTCGGGCTGTGACAGTTTCAGCTACGTGTCAACTGAGCTGGCTCATGGTTCTCAGTGGTTTGATGTGATTTTTCAGTGATGTAATCTGTCCATTACATAATGAAGTCTCAGTCTCAGTTTTAGGATCAAATGTGGATTTCTGCACCATAACCTGATCTATGAGATTTAACTAAGTTGATTAAGTGAGGAGTTGGTATATAGAGGCTCTGTCAGCGAAAGATGGGCAATCTCCTCCCATGCGATTTACTGCTTCTGAAAGCCTGCTGGAGGATCAGCTATGAGTTAATTCCAGCTTAAGGTCACATAACAGTAGGTACATATTCAGAGAGTTAGGCACAATTTGGTGGTTGGTGAGCATTGCTGACTTTTTCCAATGCACAGCGATCCTATGTCCAACACAATGAAATACTGTCTGATTGTCTGACATCCTCACAATGGGTGCCATGTTTATCCCACTGCTACAATCACTTTGTCCATCTTTCTCATTGAAATTCCTCTTCCTTTTTCCTCTGGTCCTTAACTTTACCAAGAATGAAGCTCTTCCCTACGGTCTGGTCCCCTTCTCCTGATAACATGCCTAAAGTATGAGAGATGAAGATGAAACATCAATCTTCCCAGCACAGGGATCTGAGTATCCTAATGACACCATCTGCTCCAGCCTCTTCTCGCATGGTAGCAATGAGGTCCCTCCTTCACTATGTGCTTGCAGCTTCTCCTTCTAACTCTTATGACATAAAAGGTGTTGCAAGCCACACCCCAGGGAAACTCTCTTCATAGCAAATCAGGGATGTGACAGGATTAAGACCTTTGACCCTTTTAAAATTGCTTGGCTTATTAGATCATGGGAAACAGCTAACATAACTGCCACATTGCATCACTCATGCTCATTCTTATTGTCATTAAGAGCAACCAATGCACAGCTGACCCTCAGTAAGTTTCCAAGGCTGTAAACCGCATGGGAGGAGAGTGCCCATCTTTCTCCAGCAGAGCATCTATCTACCTACTCCTCACTTAATCAACATAGCTAATCCACCAGAGACATAAGGTCAGCACCACAGGCCTAGGCCATCTTCAGGTCCCAAACACTGAGAATCGGGGCGCAATCATGTAAGAAAAGGCATTTTTTTGGGGGGGAGGGTAAGCATCATAATAGTTATAGTACAGGGTTCAGGTCTTTTGTTCATCGAGTTGTTATGAGTGATGCTTGACTTGACAGCACTTAACAACAACAAGAAGAAACATCTATTAAGTAGCTGGATGCACAAGCCTGAGTCTGAGGAGAAGATAGTTTTTAAAAAGATATTTTGTCTTCCTTTAAAAAGTGGACAGTTAAGCCATGAGACCAGATAAAAGCATCACAAGATATTAAGATATCAAGAAAAGACCGAGTGGGGAAACAACAGCCTTTTTAACAAATGATGTTGGCAAAATTGGAAAACTATCCGTAAAAAACTCAAGCAAGATCCACACCTCACTCCATACACAAAAACCAACTCAAGGTGAAATCAAGGACCTAGGACTAAAACCAAGGACTATAAACTTCATTAGAGAAAAGCTTGATAGAACTCTAGAAGCTCTAATCCACAACATAAACAGTCTTCCAAGCATCCTGAAAAATCTACAGTCAGGAGAGGATAAAATAGATGAATGGGACCTTCTAGTAATAAAATCTGTTTGCACATCTAAAAACTTCTCCAACAGGGTAAAAAAGGAAGTCACAGACTGGGGAAAAGTATTTATAAAATACTGGAGCACCACAACAAGATAAAGGTAAATAATACAATAGGAAAATGGGCACAGGATGTGAACAGACACCTCACCAAAGAAGATGTTCAGATGGCCAACAAGCACATGAAGAAATATGTTCAAAATCCCTAGCTCTAAGAGAGATGCAAATCAAAACAACTATGAGATACCATCTCATCTCAGTAAGAACAGCAAAATTTAACAGAACAGCAAACAACAACTGCTCGCGAGGTTGTGGAGAAACCCGAACATTCACTCTTGGTGGGAATGTAAAATGGAGCAACCACTATGGAAGGCAGTATTGCTCTTTCTCAAAAAGCCAGAAATAGAAATACCATTTGACCCAGTAATTCCACTACTGGAAATAGACCCTAAAGAAATCAGAACTGCCACCCAAGCAGATATATGCTCACCCATGTTTATTGTGGCTTTGTTTACAATAGCATAGAGTTGGAAACAACCTAAGTGCCCATCAACAAATGAATAGATAGAGAAGCTGTGGTACATCCACAGAATGTAATTCTATGCTGCATTGAAAAACAAGGAATTCATGAAGAAGTATACAAAATGGGTGACCCTGGAGGTCATTCATTATGCTGAGTGAAATATCTCAATCACAAAAGGACAAATACTGCATAGTGCCACTGTTGTAAAGAGGACTGACATCGGAGTTGGGGAGAAACTAAGAGGGGATAAATAATGTATACTGCATTGGAACAGATTAGAGAGAGTACTGTTTAGGAGAAATATATGATTAGGTATTATTGTCATGACAGGAGTCCAGAAAGAAATCTGCATAGTGGACTGGACTTGGGAGGATGGACTGCATAACAATGAAAGTTGTTTATGGGTGTTTTTTTTAACTTGTCAAAGAGAAAAGCAAACTGCGGGGAGGGGGGGGAGATCGGTACACAGGGAGGAAAGTGCAACAATGAACGAATGGAAATCCAAAATAAAATAAAAATATTTTTAAAAGGGGGAAAAAAGGACCTATTAGAAATATTTAGAAATAGGAAGAGAACAATGTCCTTTTTTATTCTGATGACTGGAAACTGTCAGTGTTTCCTAAATTCTTTAGTATCCTTCAACTATGATATCAATAATAATTACAATTAACAGGTGTGCTGGGTGTTTTCAGCATCCAATCTGTGCCTCGTTCTGTATCCCTATATGTATCAATGGACAGGCCCC